ATGCATGTGGCAGGTCAAGAGAAGATAGTCAGTAAAAGAAAAAAGTTACGTTTAAACAACGATTCCTTACTCATAAAATAAAGCTATGGAAATATGAGAGATTTATGTAAACAAAAACGAAAAAATACTGTCAGTATAATTATTTTTGGAGTGCAGTTAAAGAGAGAACGGCAGCCTATATGATAAGAAAAAGTCTACTTTTTCGCATTTCAATGAAGCAGTTATAAATTATGTAAAAGTTGCAAGGTGAATCAGTGAAATTTGAGACAAATAAGCTTGTAATGTGAAGTCTACAGCTTAGAGTTTATCAAGTGAAAGGCATAAAAAGGCAGAACGAGTCAGCTATGTCATAGATCTCTCAGCAATAAATTCAAATGGTAGGACTCCAATTAAGCTAATATGTTTGACCACCCAAATAAGACATATAGTAACTTTAATTTTCAAATCGTTTATCCACAAATATTTTGTGTATAATTTCACTGAACGTGAAGAAATTTAAAAAATTCAAATAATTTAAAATTTTGTTTTCGATACGCGTTCTCAGTATTATACATTGCTTACTTAGGGATTTTGTAAAGTAAACTTTAGGTTCAGTTGAGATATTCAGTTGCAATTAGCTGGGTTCTTTCGAATTCCTTTAACATTTCATCAGCTTAGAATTTCTTGTCATATTCGTCTCAGCATATTAAGAAGCCTCTTTCTCGTTACAAACCTTGAATATTTCCTTAACAAAAAGTCCGACTATGCGCGAAAGCTTCAGTAGCTACCAAATAACTCTTAGTTTGCTTTATACCTCTAAGAGCTTATCGACTTTGTTTGGTCATACAATCACTTTTCTTACAGGTTAACCATTCTAACCAATTTGTGCTTTGAGAGTCGTTCTTCTAAATAAGACAAGTTCGGTATAGAACTTTGTAGAGACAAAACAAAGCTCTGAACAAATTTCGATTCACATTCAGACTAAAGACATTCCTTTGCATAATTCAAGGAATTAAAGTATTTAATTAGCAACTCACTCAAAAGCACGCAACTTTTGTATAACCCATTTTGTGTTCCCAAAGCGCAGTACTTAAAAATAACTGTACTTTCTTCGAGTGAAAATAAAAAGTAACATGTCAGCAAAAAGTAATGATTCGGGTCATTTAAAAGTGGTCAGCATACGTAGGCGATATGTGCAAAATACCTTACAGCAACACGCATTCACGCACACAAAAATAATAGCAACAGCAAAGCGCAACATCTGAGCAACAACAAGACGAATGAACCCAAGCGAATGCATTACAAACAATCGCACTCATAATAAGGCTATGTTGCTGTACTCTATATATATATTTACACAGCTTAGTGTATATGTATGTGGGTGTTTTTATGTTATGAAGCAAATGGATTGAGGTGCGCCCCTACCAAGCTGCTTACTTTCATATCACGCAATACACGCAATTGAAATTGACCCCATAAAGGCTGCTATAGAATTTTTCAAATATGCATATGTGTATGTACTTGTAGTTTATATGTATTTGTATAATATATGCGTTAGTATATTAATGTATAAGTTTGTTAACCAGGCAAATAAATGTGTCAGTAGTGCTCATAATAGCTCATCCACTCATACATAAACAACGATTATATACAACATTCACATTCACACACACAATCACATACACATTCGTGCGACACTGTTGTGCAGCACTTATCGCACTTACCGCCGGTCTCGAATTGCCAGTTGTCATTTGCCATGCTGCACCTGCAACAGTGAATCAACTCGACTCAATTCAACTTTACTTGACTCGACAACTGCACTGAACTCGACACGATAGCACAATTCTATTATGGCTCTTGCCATTGTTGTAGCCGTTATTATTATTCTTGTTATTGTTGTTGTCATTGTTGTTGAGTTGCTTTTATCGTTGCCGTTGTCTGTCATTCAATTTACTTGATTTTTGTTGTTGCGCTATCGCCTTTGCTGCCGGTGTTAAGTCGCTGCCTCGAGTGGTTCAAACATTTGACATGACCACTTATTCGCCAACCGAATTGTTGACCGAACAACAACAGAGGCAAGAACAACAGCGCTAGTGTGCAGCACATATAAAGTCATTGTAGGGCAAAAATGGTGGCAAAAACAATGAAAGATACATGGCATATTGCTCTATACATATACAAGTATGTGGATGTAGATGTGTGCAGGGGTGTGTGTGTGTAAGTGCTGCACTCAAAAGAACCCACTATTCGGTACAGCTTTTGGTACTGAAAAGGCCATACTCGACCCAATTCCATGCACATATGGAGGTATACCCATATTTATACACGTTTACACGTAGACACGTGTATAGATCAGAATGAAAATACTCTGTAGGAAATTATTGTAAATGTTTTTATTTATAGTGTCCATGTTTTCAAAACGAGTCTGCTAGTTTTCGGGGAGCTTTTGCTACTTTCGAAGATATTTTGATACCAAATACTTATTTCTCCTCCCGGAAAGTCTGCTTTAAAATCCCGAGTGAGTTTACTTTACTTGATAAAATTACTCTCCAGAGTGCCAAAAAGCCTTGCCAGCTTAGAGTTAAGCTATTTTATTTCAACCCAATTTAACTTTCGTAAGCATTTAGGAGCTTAAAACATGATATAAATACACATACTTCACTGTTCCTTTAATCCATAGACATATCTTTCTATGAAATAATTATACATATATTATAATGCTAGGTCAACGCTTTAGCTAAAAAAATTTCAATCTAATAAAACAGCTATTTAATTATTTTCCCAATGAGGTGAAATATATTTCGAAAATATATTTTGTGAGTATAATACTTGCGATTAAAAAGTATGTTTTCGTAAGCGTCAAAAATTATATTATAGAAAAATGTGACCTTAGAGAACTCTTAGTGGCATTCAATTATTCTGTAAAAGACTTATTACTAAACATTACACCACAAAAAATATATTTTTTTAAATATTTTCAAGAAGGTTTTAGTTTTACCTACAGGGCCTTCCCTTGCTAGCAAATATTTTGCCAACTTACCTGCAATGTATGAGCAAATGCCTACCCAAGCAAACGCACACACATACGAACAACACACATAATATAGTCAAACAAATCGGCAATGCAGGTCGCTGCTTAACACTTGATCCACAAACATATATATGGTGCATACGAAATGCTTACATATACCTATGTATACACATATACATATGTATGCATTTGACTTAACATATAGATTGTGTGGACTTATGCAGGTGGATATTTTACACGCACTTATTATGTTAAACTCTCAAAGCATACATACATACATATATACCTATTTGCAATGTAATTACAAGGCTACCAATGCACTTTTGTTTAGAGGCTATAAATTCATATTAATATGTACATAGATATGTAGATAATAATAAATCTAAATTTAAGGCAGATTGCAGCAGCAGAGTGTTTGTATGTATGTTGTAAATGTGTAAGTAGGGCAGGTATTATTTGCGGGCAAAATATTTTAGCAAGGATTACAACTTCTATATCTGCAATAAATATTGTTTTTGTAGCTTTGTATATGTATTAATGTGCATATATGTTATGTAAATAGGAGCATATATTATTGATATATATCAGATACTTATCAATTTAAATGAGTTTTAGTTTCATGCTATATAGTAATTTAGTTCACAGTATTTTATCACATAAATTTGGACGTTAAAAAATATAATTCATATGTGTAAATGTGTTTGTTGCAAATTAAAATATATCATAAGTGTCTAGGAGTTTTATTAAAATATTTTAAAACATGATTTGTGAGGTACTTTATCTCAATAAATGACATAGCTGTCATATATATATTGCCTAAAATCTTTAAATACGAATTAAATTTTGCGCGACAGCGTGAAAAGGGCGATATTTGGAAGTCATAAAAATTAAATATATAAATTACAATTAAGCTTTAAAAAATACATATATATACGTTATATTTTATGAATTGAACGCTTACTTCAGCGGCGCTAAAGAAAGGCCGAAAACAACCAGATATTGGCCATGGCGTAGCTTAAGAACATATTGAATTGTATTCAAGCATTTTTTTAGTCAGTAAGTAGTAACTTTCTATAGAGCACGTCTTTGTCGAATAACATCAAAGTGAATTTCCCATGTGATTCATATAAAATATACATAAGGTGTATGGCACATAGCCATAAGTACAAACGTATTTTTATATACACACATACACATATATTATATATCTTCTAATATATTTGTAGGTGTTTCGAGTATATATATTTCTATAAGGCTTTCAAACAATATTTGTTATGAATCATAAGAATTTTTTTAAAAAAAGGTATGATTAAAAAATAAAAACATATTTTAGTCACTTTAGATATGGATTTATAAAAATATTTTGCTTAATTATACCCCTAAAATTTATATAATTCATACGAAATATCATAGCGTTGCTTAGGATTATTTTTTTTTAGCCAAACGAAATGTAATACTACTATAAATAAATAAGTAGTAAATATGACTAAACGTAAGTAATTTAATTATAAACTTACTTACGGTATACGGTACACAAATAATCATGAAAGGCGGTAAACACATGATTCCTCATACTTTCAACACTCAGACACCTACACTTACATATTCAACTGTCTTCACATTTCATACTACTTTAAAGAAAAAACCACTGCGTAAGCAAAAATATTCAAGGAAATTATTCCTCTATCATTTCTCACGCCCAAGTCTCAAAATGGTTAATAATCGTTCATCCCCTACGCCGTGTCTACTAATTTATGGTTGTAACTCAAACCAGTATTCATCAAATTCACATACACAAACTACTTTGCCAACTCAAAAAATTAAAAAAAAAACCAAAATTTTAAATCTTATGTGACATATATTTTTATACGATCCTTGTTAATTTATGTAATTATGTACATAAATATGTTTGCATTACAACGTACGGTTGAGAATTTGAAGTGTTAACTAATGATTTTCTGTATATTGTATTTTCAAACACGCACAACAGATGCTGCCGGCGGTAAATTGTTTTTACCTTTTACTAATTTTTTTATAACATAAATAAGCAACAATAAAAAATAATTATTTTAGCGCATTTTCTTATAAAAAAAAATTGCATTAACTTTCAATCGACAGTTAAAAAGAACACACTTTTTATTCAAATTTATTTATATGCCATCTTTATACCATGCATTGCGAACAATTTCCAAAATCCAAGTAAACACAATTTTTATACCGCTACTCATTTTTTAAATCCACCAAAGTGCATTAATTTGTTTTCGATTCCATTTTGAATGCGTTTAAATGATAAATAAATTACTCAGCCAACAACAAGAGCGCAGGCTAACAATGGCGACCAATTAAATTGTTCATAATTTAAAATTTCAATTACATTTATTCAGCAGCGAAATATAGAACCAAATTTGAAAATAATAAAATCGATCTCTGAATGTTTTGTTTAATCAAAATATTTATGTTATTTGCTGTTGCACTAAATTTACAACACAAATCAATTTAACGCAAATTTTCATTTAAATGCATTAGTTTGCTTAGTTGAATTACAAATATGTGCATAGTAATTGCAAATACACAAAAAATTACCCACGCACAAGTAAACAATCAAACTACGCTAAGCGAATTGCAATGATTAACAAATGCGCCTAATTAAATATTTACAATTTTCCAGCAATTCAATATACTAATAATAATAATAATATTTATTTTTACGCTTCTGCACATAAAATCACACTTTTTGCACCAACTATTATGGAATTTTTGCTGCAAAAATTTTGCTAAATCAAACAATTGAAGCGCACATATTTAAAAGTATTTACTTGCACATGGTTGCATTCCAACTATACTTATTTGTTTAATTATCATATTAACGTGGAAATGTTGGCAATGCGCTCATAATTAGTTTGAGTCAAATGCGAATGGTAAAAGTTGTGTTTAGTTTCGACTTAAAATTTGCATGCAATTATGCTAAACTTCAAGATATTTATTACACCGATTATGCGTCACATAATACACACATTTACACTCAACTAAAATGTATATAAACCCAATTGATTCAACAGTAAAACACACAATGAGTGAGCTTACAATCAAAGCTTAAAAATGTACCCATAGTAATATTTTACCATTTTATTAACAAATGCGAAACCTTTGAGCTTTTAGAAGCTATCAGATCAGCTTTAAGCTTTCAAAAATTTGCAGAGAGCTTTTCTAAAGCTTAAAACTACCAAAAAATTACTTTTAGCGATTCAGTTCGACGATCTTTGAAACTTTAAAAACTTTTTTAATGAACTTTCATTACGGCAAGAAATGCAGCGGTATTTCTTAATTATAAGAAATCCAAAAGCTTTCACAAGCGGTATTTACTTGTATTTTATGGAGATTTTTCCTTAAATGATATATCCCCAACAATTGAAATTCATTAAAACATGGCTCGGTTTAGTTTATTTATACGCAACATGCTACGGAACTTTCACTACATATAAATTTTTCCAAAAGTTCCTTTCCGACTCTTTTGAAGTAGTAAATCGAAGTTTGAAGCCTTCGCTAATATTTGTAAAAATTTTAAATAAAGTCAACAAAATACTAAAAAGCACAAGTTGAAGTTCCACATATAAAACACTAAAGATCAATGGACAAATTAAGGAAAACTAATAAAATTTTTATTAGGACACAATAACAAATTATTCATTAGAGCATTTGGAAACGACATAAATTTTAAAGCTCAAAATATTATATACTGTGGTTATATAATTTTATAATATTTTTTGAGAATTAATTTCATTTCCATTGAATAAGGCACTAAATAAATGTCATAAATGTTAAGTAACCAAATTCAATTCGCAATCTTTTTAACAGTTATACTCCTTTTTAGGCCTAAAATGCATTCATAAAAATTCATACTCGTATACAATAAAGCACCAAGCAAATAATTTTCTCCTATTTATTATTGTACATAATTTTTTTTCACATACTCTTCCGTTAATAGATTTTATATATACTTACATTTTACCTAACTAGCCTCGCATATGTATAGAAAACTACATATGTGAATAAAAAATATAATAATTGCATACTTTAATCACATATACATATATACATATATACTTGCTATGTAAATTGCAAGGCCAACCCGCAGCACTCGCACAAAAGTATGCAACAAAGTATATGCTGTTCAGCAGCTTATGCATAATAACATAACAAATATTAAGCTTTGAAAATGCACGAGCTCCCTTAACTTGGCTTCGCCGTACACACACCTACATACACTTTAACCCACCGCAAACTAATACACACCCAAGATATCACTTGTACTCCGAAACTACCAACAACAGTAAACAAAACGTTGTACACTTTTCGTAAGTTTGCGACTTGTTTTTCTTTTTGTAAGCTCATTATCTGTTTAGCATTTTCCGCTCTTACTCTTTACACTCTTTCTCTATCGTTAACTATGTTTTTGTTTATGGTTATTTTTTTGTTGGCTCTGTTTAAATCTCTGTTGCACTGTTGCCTTTGATTTTGATTTATTAAATTGATATCTTAGTAACTAATTGGCTTGCGTTAATATTTTTATGATATTTTAGCGTTTATTGCAATTAATTGTTGACGAGCTTTCCAGCTTTCACTTATTTGCGTGTATTTCTTAATGCATTCAAATGCCGTTATATTGAGTTTTGTAACTTTTGTTCAATCGTATTAGTTCGCATTCACAATATTTTGTACAACCACTATTTTCACTTATTACACACCCACTTTTCTCGCTCCTTTCTTGTTCCTCACTTTTTCTTGCCACTTTTTACTATCACTTGTTTTCCTGTTATACTTAGCATATTTCAAAACTTTTTTCTCAATTCTCTCCACTTTTCGACTGTTTTTGATTGTTACTAACATTTCGAGTTCCTTTTTTCGTGCATTCACTTATCAACTTAACCGTTATTTACGCTAAAGTTTTATGTATTTCTACTAAATCACGCTTCATTTACTTACTAAACAAAATCGTAGATAAGTAAATAAAGATATTTTCATTACAAAATTTTATTGACAAATGTTTTATTGTATTTTAAGATATAATCTAATTCAAAATCAATGCAAAAAAATAAAAACAAAAAAATCATTCAAATCGTTCCATTGAAAACAAAATACAAAAAAAAAATGAAAACTGATTAAAGCTCATGCGAAACTTTTTGCATAAGAAAATTGTGAAATAATGTGTTTTTCATAAATTTTTCTATTTTTATCTTTCTTTCTTAATTTGACTCTAATTTTTGCTTTTTGCCGATTTTGTTGAATTGCTTCTTCTTCTTCTACTACTACCTCTACTACAACTACTACTACTACCGTTACTACTACTACTAAAACTACCGATTAACAAATATATATGCGGATTATTACTATTTACTACAACTACAACAACACCTTCTCTACAACTACAACCTACTACCAACAACAACAACTACTACTACTACAACAACAAATCCAACAATCTAAACAACGTCATTCATAATGAGGTAAAGTATAAATAAGCATCCAATACAACTATGTGTATTTCTATAACTGTAAATATTTGTATATGTTTGTGTGTTAATGTATAGATTTTTGTATTTTCTAAAAGTAGTATAAGGGTCATTGCGGTTGTAATATTTACTTTGAAGTCACTCTGTGCAGGGAAAATTTACATACTTTGACCATTCGAGCTATTTTGTCGACCTTAATTTCGAGAAAAAACACAGTTATATTTAAATAGTGAGAAACTATCTATCGCCTTAATATTTCCTTAGCAATTACTTTGTTTAAGAAAAATCTACCTACTTTGACCCTTTGCGCTATTTTATCTAACCTACTTTCGAGAAAAAACACAATTACATTTAAAAAGTCAAAAAACATTAATGTTAGCGGTTTCGGAAACTTTTCATGCCTTAAAATAGTGTATTCAAATTCACAAACTCGTTTTGCAAATATTTTCTGATTATGACGGAATGTCTATAAAGCTTTCCATATTTCGGAAAGCAAGTGTTCATGCTGAATAATTTCATATGGTAAATATGAAATCCATATAATAGATATAAAAATGTTAATTTCAGATATTTTTTTAGAATTAAAACTTTCGAAGCTTCATGTAAAACACAATAGCTTCCATGACATGACAAAGAAAAAATTGGAAGATATGATATGACTCTTGAACTAACCAATAGGAATTATCTGTAACAATGAGAGCTTTCATAAAAGTGAAAGCTTTCAAGTATGTTACTGTTCTGAGTAAAACATATCAAAAGTATACAACTTTTCAATCCTAGTAAATTACTTATTAGAAAAATTTCTTATTTTCAACAAAAATGTATATTCAAAACATTTCAGCGGCAACGCTTGCAGTAATTGACTACTGGAATACTGGTAAACATAAAATTGGCATATGCTACCAAATCTCCAAATTCATAAATTATTATTGGCAGTTGCCACCATAAGCCACCCTTTCAGCAGGTACGCAATAAATTCGCCAAATTTATTATACCTTTTACAATTTATTATTCAACCATAAAAACAATTCAAATGCAGAAAACCATGTAAATAAATAATTAAAGCATTAAAACAAAACACAATTTGATTACTTCTCTGCAAAAACATAAAATAAGCAAAAAAAGGTGGCGATTCTAAATAAATATATTTAACCATTTAATTTCGATAGTATTTTTGAAAGAAAACTTGTAATCAATGAAGCTCTTAATTCAATGGTTTTTACAAAACTTTGAAACAATAAACTCATAAAGTTCAATTTACATATATTTGCAATTAAGTGTAGAAATGCAAATAGGCCAAGCAAAAGTAAGAAAAATCGAACTTCCGTTTGCAGCAACATATTTGTGTAAAATCTGATTGCAAGATTTGACAGGAAAAAAACCATTTTAAAATATATTTCGAAAAAAAATTTATTACACAGTGTTTTATTCATATACATTCTAAAAAAAAAATTATTTTCAACATGTCCAAAACTTTTTTAAAATTTATTTT